ATTTAATACATACTATTTTTAGTCACTTGACAAATGCTCTTAAAATTGAATCTTGGAAGTATTTGTAATTATATAGATTATAAGCTCTGTGAAGTCTTACAACCTTTAAAATTTTTGTTTTGTTTGAGTCCTTTGCAATCCCAGTACGTTGTCTGGTATACTTAAAGTTACTCAATTTTTAAAAATTGTATTCTTGTGGAACAATCCCCCTATTATAAAAACTAATATGGGAAATATTAGTGATTCTTCAATTCAGGGTCTAAACCCCTTTAAACCTCAGTTTACCTCAGGTTAAACTTTGAATTCATTATTTCACAAATAGTAATAATGTTCTTACCAAGGTACATTGAATGCTACATTTAGCATATGCTAAATGGTATTGTCCCAAACTTCAGTAAACATCACCAGACAGATTTATTTTTCATCTACTGTATGCTGGTATTTTATCCTGTTTAATCAATGTGGGGAAATATTTATGTCACATGTTACATATAAGAAGATTAAGAGGTATTAAATGACTGTTCCAACTTGCCAAACCAACTGAGTCAGAGATTATTAAATCCACATCTCCCTGAAAGCTAAGTTTGCAATCTACCCTTATCTATCATAAGATTTCTAAGAAATAGAGAAAAAACTATTTAAAATACATCAGAAAAATATGATTTTGAAAGAACAAATTTTGTGGTAGGATTAGTATACAGAAAATACTGAGTATTCTCAATAGTGTTGGAGGGATTAATGTGGGAGGGGTCAAATTTAGCTTTTAAGGGTGATGAGTGATAAGCAGAGAAATGTGTGTTCATCTTAGATACCTCACATTTCTCTCCTCTTTGAGAACATTAGAAAGACTGAAAAAATCATAGTCTCTTTTACCCTACTTTTTTCTTTTTTGTTTTAAGAAGATGAGAACCTATTTCTTACTGTTATATAGATAAACTGTACAAGGAATGGGGGAAAGAGAGAGACTGCATCTCTTCATGAATAGTTAGGATATGTTAACATATATAAGGGATCAGTCCCTTATATATGGGAGTATACTGACTGACTTCTAGATGTTTCTGTAACTGGCAGCTAGTAAGAAAAATGAATGTCCTTAAAATTCCCCCCTTCTCTTGTGCAGAAAGGTTTTGTCAATTGAGACTTATTAAAAACTCTGTAAGAGAGGCCTGTTATTATTTTAAATAACTATATCAGTTTTGATGATGCTAATAAGATGTTCTGAAAAATAAAATGAGGGCTTGAAAATACTTGGGTAGATACAAAGCTGTATTTAATGCAGAGTTAGTGAGAGAAATAGCTCCATTCTAATTGTGCCTTTTGTGGACAAATATGATTATGGTTTAAAATCACTATGTGCTTCATGTCACTACTTGGACATTCTTTAGTTTTTGAGCTATTTCATTATCTGCATGTTTTAGTAAGAAAAATAAGTGTCCCCAAAAGACAAATTGTTCCCTTGACACAAACTGTCAGATGGTCTAGTTATGGTCTGATGCTAATAACTTTGCTTTTTTTAATTACAAGTAATGTTTTTCATTTTCCTTCCAGTTCTACCTTTACAAATGCATAAAAATAGGAATGTTTTTCTGTTTGCATGTTTGTTCATTTTGATTGGTCATTATTATTCTTGCATTTGTTTTCCACTTCTGTCTCCTGTCAGTTCAAATCAACTAAAAATATTAAATACTGTAATGTGCCAGAAACATTCAAATAATGGATAATTCTGTGCATGCCCTTCCTTTGTGGCAGCAAAATTTGTCACCCTCAAATGACTGTGAAACTGAGCTACACCTTAGTCTTAGAGATCACTTCCTTTCACAGTCATTTTGCCAGTGTGTCAAATCAGTAGTTCATCCTTTGTGTTATCTGGGAGTTTCCTATCACTTTTATCAAAGAAAGGCAAATCATATGAGAAATGTACCAAATTGATATCCATCACAGCATAATAGCAATACATGACACTTACAGATGATGACAGATTGCATTGCAAGAGCTCTGCTCTAGGTTATGATGATTTAATTGCATATTTTTACTTTTTTAACAGATTGTACACACCTTGAAGGGAACTTTGTATAGGCCTATGCAGAAGTTGCTTGACAGAATTTTCAAAGTGCACATTATAAAGAATTGAGTGGAAACATCTAGCAAGGATTCTAGCTTGGATTTGCTTTGTTACCTTTTGCAAACTTTTTGATCTCTTTGAGCCTCAGATCCTTGGTCTCTTAAACAAAGGGATTTTTATCAGTTCAAATGTTTATTTTTATTATTAAGCCACAGATCACTGTAAAGTATAAGGACAAAAAACAGAGTCATTCCTAACCACCTATCAGAGTGTCTGGAACATTATAGTGTTTAACATGTATAAGTTGAATTGAATTGAATTTGGTCCTTCAAAATTGTGGATGAAATATTGATGGATAGAGAGCTACCTTTGTCAAAACAGAGCTACTTCTGTCAAATAGGAGTGGGTGACATCCCAAGGCTTGGAGACATGCCCAGTGGGTCAGTCCTTCTCTCCTTTTTTTTACTTTTTCTGCCCAGAGGTGCTCTGTGCAAACAACATGACTTTAGGGAACATAGTTTTAAAAATTTAAAATAACTAATAAGCATTGAATTCTCTCTAGCCCCAATATCTTATGATTTCATGATCTAGACTTGAAGAATTCCTATGCTAACATAGAATTTGTCAAATGACAGAATATGAAAATTCTTCAGGACATAACATTATGTCACAGAGTGGGTGGTAGGGTAGGGCAGAGAAACAAAAACCTATTTTACATTTCTGAACAAATGTGCTACATATGGATTATATTATCTTTCTATACAGATTTTGTTTCCCCTCACCACAGGCTAGTGTGGGAAGTGTTTGAGCATGGAACATTTTCTCAACTGCTTTTTAAAACAAACTGTCAAATTATCTACTAGTAACTACATAATCACAAGATTTTTTAACTAAGAAACTTATTAAAATAAACCAGTTATTTTGACATCATCATGGCTTGTGAAGTTCACTAAAATTCATTTGATAACCAGAGTTGAAGAACTGTGACTTTTTAACCTATTAATGGTGAACTATTTTGACAACATTTAGTAAATAAGCTGATGTTTTGTTAGTAAGAGAATCAAATCTTTTAAGATCACTTGAGGCATGAAATCAGAGTATTTAAGGTTACTCAGTGATGTTATATTTTTGAGAATTTCAGAGCAATTAATCTCATCCTATTACCCAAACTTTCGTTTTTCACTTTTATTCCCATATTCTTGTTAAATATTAATGAAGGCAAATAAATAATGCATTCAATTAGTTATGAACACAGCAATTAGTCCTAGATGAGGTTGGTCTCCCCAATAAAGACCTTTGTTTTAGTCAACTTTTATTCTCTGTTACCAAAATACTGACTAGGACAATGTAGAGGAAGACAAATTTATTTTAGTTCATAGTTTCAGAGATCCATGGTCAGCTGACTACATTGCTCAGAGATTCAGTCCATGGTCAGCTGACACCATTGCTCTGGGTCTGATGTGAGGCCCAACATCATGGCAGAAGAGCATGGTGGAGGAAAACAGCTCAGGACATGTCAACCAAAAGCAGAGAGAAAGAGAGAGCTCCACTTACTAAGGACAAGATATAAAAGGCTATACCACCAGTGACCTTCTTCCTCTAGTCATACCCTATCTGCCTACAGTTACCACCCAATTAACCCATATCAGTGGATTAATCCACAGATTAGGCTAGGACTCTCACAATCTAACCATTTCACCTCTGAAAATTCTTGCATTTTCTCACACATAAGCTTTTAGCAGACACCTCATATCTAAACCATAATGATCCTAAGAACTCATTGCTGTTTTTCTAACTTGGGATGCACTATCCCTTTGCACTGACTGTGTTTTCTGTTAAAGAGACATGGAGGCAAACTGTTGAAGCACTTTGAATTCTTGAATCCTCTGGTGATGAGTACATGTAGCCAACTCCTGGCAGTTCTGTCTAGATCCACCTTCCAGTTATCAACCAAGCTGGCATGTCCTCCTGGCAAGGAAAAAAGAAAGTCTCAAAGCAAAAACATTTAGTTCAGTGACCCTTAATTGATCAATGTCTGTTTTTTATACAGAATAGAAGTTACAGTGACAGATTTCCAGGGACCTAGGCAATTCAGAGGTGGGGGCAGGAGGGGGAACTAATGAAGAACTATTTGTCTAAAGTCCAGAAAGTCTAGTTTACTAGGAATGAAGCATGCAATAGGATGCCCATTTTCCCAATGTATAGTAGCAAACTCTTAGACTTGTTGCTGATAAATGAAATTGATGAGAGCACAGATCAGAAATGTGTGGAAGTTTCAAATCATGCAAATTAGCAATATACATATACTACAAAATGTAACAGATAATAGTAATACAGATTTAGACTAAGGGGAAAATACCATTTTAAAATATCCTCTTGGTATGAGTATGCATGCTTGTACTGACACTAATGTCACATTGCTAACCCATTTAGTGTATCTCTATGTAGGAACACTTAATGCAATTAGTAGATTGTGTGTTTTGAGGTAATGTGATCCAGTATATGGAAAATATAAATGGAATTATGAAGAATGACAAACCTCTATACTGAATAATGTTTTACTACATGCCACATACATATGTGTGTAGCTTTAATATTAAAAAATGGAGGGCATCCCTTTAAAACAAAATAAGATATAAATATAAGATGTATCATGAAACAGTCTGATTTTTTTTTAAGAATTGACCAATCCTGATTCTGCAATTCAAAGGTGTCATGTGACTGTTGATCTGGAAATGTTATATTTTACTCTTGTTTAATCTAATAGCTTTCCAGCTTGCCTGAAGGTACCACCTGCAATATGAAAGTCATTACTTGGTAGAGTGCTTTGACACTACTTTGAGAATGAAAAATCTTTGAGAAAATAAACTGTATGCTATCATTCAGTTCATGCAACATAACTATAAGTCTCTGTACTATTATTATTGTTGTTTTCCAGCTCCTCTGACTGATAAGCCACCCAAGCTTTTGTATCCTATGGAAAGTAAACTGACAATTCAGGAGACCCAGCTGGGTGAGTAAATTCTTAATTCTAGTTAATACATTTTTTTAGTATATTCTGACAGTTAATAAGTCTACATAGTTACCATGTGATACTCTGAGCTAAACTCATGGGTATTTAAAGAGGACAGAATTAGGAAGTGCCAGCACACATGACATTCTGTTCTCTGCAAAGTACACCTTGAGACCAAAATGGATATATGCTATTTAGATGGTTATTGGGAAATGAAATAGGCTGATGATTTTAGCAATGATAGTATAGTGTAATGTTATAATGTTTGAATTCTTTTTAAAATAGGCAATATGGAACTATTTTATAATATCTATTAATATATTAACATGAATTTTCTGAAATTCAGAGAAAAGGATGGAAGTTCACTAAAGTAAATGTTACCATTATGGAAAAAAAAAAAGCATTTTAAAAATCTAATGCAGGGGCTGGAATTGTGGCTCAGCGGTAGAGCTCTCGCCTAGGACGGGCGGGACCCGGGTTCGATTCTCAGCACCACATAAAAATAAAGGCATTGTGTTGTGTCCATCTACAAAAAAAAAGTTCATTCTCATTCTCTCTCTCTCTCTCTCTCTCTCTCTCTCTCTCTCTCTCTCAAAAAAAAAAAAAAATCTAATGCAACATAATAGACATTGTGGTAATTGTTTTAGATAATATATTACTTAAATTTGATCAAGTGGCATTTGTTTAAGGAACTAGGGGATTTGGACATAAGGCCATGGACAAAATACTCTGTGATAAAAAATATTCAGTTATACATGAATTAGAATTCTAAAATACTTATCTTAGACCAAAGTATAGGACTTTTTAGTCACTTAGCTATATTCAGTTATACCAAATTGTGGAAAATTTTCCTTCTTAATTATAAATATCCATTATATTCTCTTAGGTTTTATTTTAAGTTGATATGTGGTATGTGTGTATATACACTTACATATATATATATATATATATATATATATATATATATATATATATATATATTCTCCTCAAATGTCTATAGAAATTTTTCTACTTTAATCTTTCAAAAATGAAAATGTATTCAATGTAGCCCGTCCCTTAAATTAAAATGTTATTATTGTTCATGGGGTGAGAAGTTGATGACAATTATAAATGTTTTCTGAATGAAGATTACAAAGTACAGATGTGATAATGTTTAGTAAAAACATATCTAAGTTATATTGCACAAAGATGTGATGATGGTTTTAGAACTTGTAAGCCTATATTAATGTATTCAATTGGTCCCCAACGCTGGAAATATCTATGTTTGCTAATTTTGAGGGATGATCATATTCAGGATTTATATAGACTGAATATTAATATACTTTTTTAAATTCTTGTTTTTTTAATATTTATTTTTTATTTGTACACAATACATTTATTTGGTTTATTTACTTCTATGTGGTGCTGAGGATCGAACCCAGGGCCTTGCACATGCTAGACGAGCGCTCTACCATTAAGCTACAACCCCAGCCCTTAATATACTTCTTTTATAGCAAATTCAAGCCTTTTGAATTAATATCATAAATATGCAAGTAGTATTATTCTTGATATTTTTAGATGAAAGACTATAGGTAGCATTGAAGCAATGCCATATATAAAATAAACATATTAAAATTGTATCTTACACTTTACTCACACTGTGATATTGCTATTTTATTAAAAAATGAAATATAAATTCTCAAGAGTGGCCATGCTTATATAGCAATTTCAACAACTCTTTGGAAGATATATTTCTAAGAAGCTATGTAAAACTTAAACATCTTGGGCAAAGAAGAGGGAAAGTTATGGTGGTAGTAGTTATCTGTAATGGACATAATAAAAATGAAATTTTTATGTTTTTAATTGTATGTCTATATTTGACAGCATAATTAAAAAAAATTTTATGGTTGATGGTTGCCCATTGGGTTTTTTTTTAATTGTCCCTGAATTTTGAATAAATCAAATTACTCTTTATCTTCTATTATAGTGCTTTGTAAAATACAATTGTAAAGCTATTTTTAAAATAGTACCTTTTCTTAAACAAAATCATAAAGACTACCCACATTATATTGAAAATTTATTATGCAAATTGAATGATTTGACTATGTATTCATTTGAAGATGTATGGGCCTATCTATGAACAAAATGTTCAAGAAATATTCTAACTCCTTTATTGTCACTGAACAAAGGAACGTGGTTGTCTTTAACCACAACTAAAGACATCAACCTGGCATCTTGATTATTTTTTATTTTTTTATTTTTATTTTTGCAGGGGACAGGGTTTGTGGATTGAACCCAGGGGGTATTGACCACTAAGTCACATCCCCAGCTTTTTTTTTTCAATTTTGAGACAAGGTCTTGCTAATTTGCTTAGGACTTCCCTAAATTGCTGAGGCTGGCCTTTAATTTATAATCCTCCTGTCTCAGCTTCCTGAGCTGCTGGAATTACAAATATGCAATACAACACTTGGCACATCTTGATTCTTTTAAACAATTTTCGTTTTGTTTCATTTTTTGATTCCAGTTCATAGTGCATCACCAGATAAATGACTTGCTAGTTAGAGAAATTTAACCATTATTAATCCCTGGATTTTTGAGTGGCAGTTCATTTGAAATAATAGCCATGCTATTGTTGCTAGTAGATGAATTAACAACAAAAAATATAAGTCAAGATAAGGAAAGAGCATTAACCACAAAAAGATTTGAGGTACCTAAAATATACTGTTTTCTCCAATATACACCTTGACTTTAACTTCCTTGAGGATAAAATTTTGCTCTTTCCAGATGTCAAAAAGCTATCATTCTCACAGGTTCTGAAGGATATGGAATATAGGTCCCAAGACATTTCCCCTATTTGCAGTAGTTCCCCCACCTGCCTTGTCTGGGGTAAAATTGAAGCTTTTGTCAATTAAAAGCACAGGCACAGCCAGAGAGAAGGAACACAAAAGGAACTCACACCTGACTGGCACCTGACCCACCACTCTAATGTGTCAGCTGACTCCAATATAATAAGCCCCAGGAAATTCCCTGTCCACACTCCTGTCCCACCCTAATGGATCAGCTGACTCCAATATAATGAACTCCAGGAACTACCATCCTGTCCAACCCTGAATGAAGCCTATTAAAAACTCAGACCTTTATTTAAGCCCATTACCATTTTCTGCCCCCTAAATGAGCCCCATCAGCTGTTTGATGGATTGACTCTGCCTCTGAATAAAAAAGAGCTTGCTGATTCAAGGTCTGCCTCCTGCCTCCATCATCTTGTGCTTACAGGTGCAATATGTGATATCAAATCCTAAGAAAGAGGGACTGATGCATAGTCATGGAGTGGCAGTAGGAGGATTGTATGTCTCAGAGACATGGACCTGTAAGTGGTGTCTCCCCTTATGAGTAGGTGAAAATCTCCAAGAGAATTTCAGTGGATAAGAAATCATGGATCTGTCTCAACCTGTTCCTAAATCTAAAGTTAACCTCAGAATATAATGAAACACCTGTATGAGTTATAACTTTAAAAATCCAGAAATATACAAAGCTGAGCTGGTACATGTCTGTTGATCTACCTTCTGTATCCTTGCTAAATTACACATACATCCAAAAATCCCTAGTAAATTTAAGTCCATCAATTATCTGATTTCATCTCAAATGTATATAATTCATTATATAAACTTCAATAAAAGCACAGATTTCCTGGAATTACCCTTAATCTCCACATTCACATTTTTTTCAGTACTACAAATTGAGCTCACTCACCCCCTTTTTATTTATTTATTTATTTATTTAGATAGTGTCTTGTTATGTTGCTCAGGCTGGTCTGGATCTTGTGATCTTCCTGCCTCAGCCTCCCAAACAGCTGAGATTGCAGGTGTGCTCCAACTACACCAGGTCCATATTCACTTTGTACTGCCATCTGCTGGCCATGCCAGCCTTTGCTTTGTTTTGCTTTTCAGTATCACTTGTATTTTCCTGTTCTAATTCCTTCATCTTCTCAAACTGGAATAGTCTGGTAGTATCATTTAAACTATTTCATTGTAGAAAGCAAATGGCACTAAAAGGCCAAGTACTTAGGAAACAATATAATGGTAACTATATTTATATAAAATATGTAAAATTGGCAGGTTTGACATTTCCACTTTAAGTGGCATCTGTGTGTTATTTCTAAATGTGAAAAAAAGAACTTTGTTCTTTTTAGATAACTTTCAGGAATCAGCAAATATATGGACAGCATTTTCTTGGGCAAAAGGCCCAGAAATCACATTGCAGAATTCTGAAGGTCAATCCAAGAGGTAAATCTGACAGTATTTTTCAGGCTGCTGTATTCAAGAGAGTCAAAAGACAAACACAATTGACTTGCTGAGTGTGAGCTCTATAGATGTCATTCAGAGATCTGGTCTGAACGTTATGTCCAGGAGCCCATTTTCAGAAGCTTCCAGATCAGAGAATGGCATATGTCATTGCTACCAGTTTTTGAAAGTGTAGAAATCCACCTTAGCTTTGACCTAAAGAGACTAATTATAGCTTACAACTCAGAATTTACTGAGAATTATAAGTAGATGTCAAACTTTACTTAAATTTTGTATTTTTCTCTAAAAAATAATTATGCAGGTTATTGGTAGAAATTTGGGTGAAATATCGAAAAGGATCTTGTTTCATAAACTCTAAACTGTATGCACATTTGGCTGCTTTTAAATATTCTCAGAAAACATCCTTTAATGGCTATATAATAACCAGATAAAGTCATACAATTTCATATGTATTTTTGTACATTTGTATTTTTTTAATTCTCATTATCACAAATAATGATGTGATGATCTTTACTTATGTATTATCCTTTTCACCTTATTCAACAGGACATATTTCTAAAGAAAAAAAGATTCTGGATAAAAGGAATAATTTTGTTAAAGGCGCTTACTACATAATTTTAGAATTCTTGCCAGAGAAAATTTTACACTCTTACCAAATATATATAATGAATATAGTAACATTTTAATATTTAATTAAATACCTTTACAGCACAGAGCTCT